TGGAGCTACCCAGAACTTTCGATTTTGGTGCCAAGATGGATGGATTGAACCGGGTGACCCACTGTCAGGTATTATTGTTCAATTATCCTGAGGGTAATGTGGATATGTTCTGTTTGAGATCAAAGCTTGGTATGGTTAGAAAATATATATATGTGCACTGAGATTTCAAATATATAACAGCACTGATACAACGTAAGGTTTCCCTTGCTATCGTACATGTTTTCATTACTATCATAACCTTTTTAGATCAAGCATGTCATGCATTACATTTCATTATGTATGTTGCAACTTCAACACCACAATGCCTCTGTATGTAACATCTGTATGCTGATTATTTTTTGGAATTGAATTATGTATTCAAAGCCATTGTTCAGCATATACATCGTTTGAAAATCATACAAGGGGCAAAATTTAAATGGATTAACTGAGCCAAAGGCAGTGCCTTTTCATACGAATATATGTGTACGACATCTTCAGATAATCATATATGTTTGCCGGCAGAATATATGTGCATTGAACTACAAATAAATTTATTTGTGGGACTTGATGCCGGATATATACAGATTGCATGTTCTCTTAGGGCATCTGCAATTGATGGACGCCAGGATTTATTTCCCGATAGACCGGCAGTTGCGTTAGTTGCTCCCAGTGTGCCCGGTACCAATAGATGCATTGAGCGCTTTCTCTTTTCCTGGGCACGCGAGTAAAGAAACGGGTAGCCGGGCCTACGTATTTAGAGCCGCTGATAAGCGCCTAGCATTGAATGAGAAGGCGCTTACTTTTTTCTTAATTTTTTGATGTTTAACTTTTTACTCTTAAGTACCTACACAAGAGTCTAGCATTGCAGATGTCCTTAAGCTATAGGCTATCGTAGTGGTTTTACCAATCACAAATAAGCGACCAATGATGAAACAATAGTACAAATTTTGAGCACAATACATCATGATCTATTGGAAATTACATGTTCCTTATTTGACATATCAACCAGTCAAAGTGGCCAAACTTGAGCATATAGTTAATCGAGCACGAAACAGTTCATTGAGTGCGAGCTTTGTTGACAGCCCTACCGGTTGGAGGTACACAAATACCTTTCCCCCCTTTTTTCATAAAATCAAATGCTTGTACTAATGTTGATTCCATGCATTTTCATACATTATTCAACATTTTTGTGCGTTAGTAAAAAAGCCATTCTTTTAGTTCACATTATTGAGCTAGGAAAATGGACAGAATTATTCTTTTTGTCCCGTTGCAACGCACGGGCTCTTTTGCTAGTTGGAACGTAAGCATTTACCAATTTTTATCGTAACTTTTTTATGGACACCCCACAATTATAGTAGTGACACTAAATTTGATTTCTACTGACTGCAACTTCTTAGTTAACTCTAGAGATTTCAGTGAATAAGTTGCAACTTTTACAGCCGAAGAACTCACCATGGGAAACAGAGATCGAATATTTGTGATTATTATAGAGAAGAAAACATTGATAAACTGCTCGCGTTCGCGGCGGCGGTCTTCTGCCATCCCACCCACCACCGTCGGTTTTTTCCGGGAGATTAACACAGCAATAATGTTATGATGCGCCAAGGGAGATCGATCGACGGACGGCGGCGAACCCTCTGCTCCCCCGTTCGTGGTTTAAATACAGGAGGGGTGGTAGGACGAGTCGCGGCTGCCGGCGGCCGGAGCTTCCTCCTCTACACCAGCCAATCTCAGGTGACGCTGCATCCTTCTTCTCTTTATCCAGACCCCCTACTTTGCTGAGGCTACGTTCGCCTGTTTATGCTGATGTTTTCACTGCTCCCGCAGCGCCCGCCACCTGCTCGACGGAATGCCGAAGAAGGCTGCGGCGAGCGGCAAGGACCGCTTCGGCGACCTCACCAACGACCTGCTCCGGCATGTGCTGTCGTACCTGCCCAAGGATGATGCTCTGCAGACTTGTGTGCTTGGCGCCCGCTGGCGCGGCCTGTGGAGGCGCGCAACCGGCCTGCGCTTCATCTTGGAAGAGAGGTCAAAATTCCCGCGCTGCGAGCGTTTTGAAAAGTTGGTGAAGCTGGTCATCCGCCTCCGGGGAGACTCTCCTCTTGTCAGCTGCGAAATCAGTGCCCATCCTGACGATGAGACGGAGGGCACATACACAAAAACCATGCGGTTGATCGAGTATGCTCTGAAGTGCCAAGTCAAGGACCTGCTAGTCCGAGTTGTTCAAACTGAGGTCTGCCCGCTGACATTCGATGCGCCTCTCGTCTCCAAGCACCTGAAGACCATAGAGCTTGAACGGGTTAACCTAGAATTCGCCGCCCTGAATTTCTCTGGCTGCCCGGTATTAGAGGATCTGAAGATGACACATTGTTGGACGTATGCACACAAGATCGCTCAAGTATCTGTGCATTACCGGTTTTTGTCCCGTCCTTGATGATTCCCACATGAGGATTTCCACCCCGGCCCTTATCTCACTCCGAATTGATGATTTTCATGGTTTGACCCCTTACTTGAAA